AAAAACAACTTATAGGTTAGACCACAAATAATAAGCAAGTGAAAGTAGCACCCAACGATTAAACGAGGCAACAAACTTCCAAAAGCTCGAAATGAAAGGTGAAACACCCAAAATTGGATGCAGGATAGCCTGCCATGTGTTATGCCGACACTCCCTACAAGCAATAACTGTTCCGTACAAGAAGCCCCACCAAATCTAATGCAAACCCTTTAGATACACTTCCTCAAATAAGCTTTGATCAGTGATTAGGTATCAAATTAACCAAAAAAAACTTAAATTATTAAATTTTTATTGGTTTTAACTCCTAACCAACCCATAGTCTACCCAAGTTTGTCTAAATCAAACTTCCTCTCTTAAAAAAACATTCTAGATAAACTCATCAGACCTTAGCTGCTCTTCCAACGCCATCGAGCTTTACATTGGTTTTTGCTCTCTAAGTGGGGGTTATTCATTGGCACATTTGGGGGACTAGTATGATGCACGTGCGATGCACGTGTAAAAACTTTCATGTTTATATGTAGCCTCATAGTTTTTGTTGCATTGATAAATTTTTTTCTATGTGACATTTATTTGAAAGGTGTCATAGATAATATATATTAGGTTTTGATTGAATAACTTTTAATTGGCAATTTTCACTTGTTCTCAGAAATGATTTATCACTTTTATTAATTGATGATATAAATAGACGTTATAGGGTTATAAATAGGATCATAAAGAACATTCATTTGGCATATAAAAAACAAGGATATTGACAGAAAAAGACCACAAAATAAATGAGGTATTCCAAATTATTTAATTATATGTCCACTTAATGTACCAGAATCATATATTCTTTAAGTTTGACATAAATAGACAGAAGGGAGCTCAATTTGAGCAACATTTATCAGATTCCAAAGATGCATCTTTGTCAAACTATAGAGAGACATGGGGAATCGGGCTGCAGCAAGGCAATTTGATCTATAATAGCTAGATTCCTTGACCTGCAAATGAAACTGAATTAAGCATGATCAGACATCGTCAACTTCTCGAGGATCAAACCTAACTATAAATATTACATAAAGAGTGAAATCACATTTGAGATCGAAGATAGTATGTTGCATTGTAAATAGGGCTGTCCAAAAAGCCCGGGGCCTGGCCCGGGCCCGGGCCAGAACCGACCCGGGTCCGGGCCCGCCGTCAGAGACCGCTGGAATAGCTAAAAATTTTTTATTTTATATATATATATATATATATACTATATATATATAATATTATATATACCTATAATTACCTATAATCCATATATATATCATATATATATATATATAATTAAAGAGACATAATTTTATACATGTATAAGAGAGAGTATACTTATATATAATTATTACCTACAAGAGTAATATATATTATATATAAAGAGTTATACATTGTCATACTATATATACTTATATACTAAGAGAGTATATATATATAATATATATAATATATATATATATACATATATAATATATATATATATATATATATATAATATATATAATATTATATATATTTATATATATATATATATATACTTATATTATCTTGTCATAGGAGGAGATTTCCTCCTTGACGCCTATGTGGCACAATCCCACCATCCTCATGAAGTAAGAGAAGTGTCGATCGTGTGTTGAGTTGGATGGGATTTTGTGCCTACTGCTATAAGGAATTGCAGGATGGTGGCGGATTGCGCCAATAGACGAGCAAGGATGCCGGAAATCTCCTCCGTATGATAAGGATACCCATTAATCTCTCTCTCTCCTCCTCTCTCTCTCTACCATCTCTATATACTATACTTATACTATTATATATTATATATATATATATATATAATATATATATATAAGTGTATACCTCTCCTCTTATATATATATTAATATACTCTCTCTTAGTATGTAAGTATATATAAGTATATTCCTCCTTATATATGTATAATATAATGCTGTATATATAATTTCATACTACTTATTATAAAAATATACTTATTTGTGTGTTCATATAAGTTATATGTGTGTGTGTGCATAATTTATATCTTTTATATATATAGTTATGTATCAATATCAATTTGTTTATGTTAATTTCTATAAGTATTTACAATTTGTTTATGTATAATATTGAGTGACATGAATACTTTGGGCTATTTAGTCTAGTGGTAAAATTTAGGAATTTGGAGAGGAGGTTAGTGGTTCAAATCCTAGCCACAACACATATATTTAGAGGTCTTTGATTGGGCCTCTTGGGCTCTTTGAATTTTATAATTATTTTTAATTTTATTTGTTTCTATAAAATCTACAATTATTTTATATTATTTTATCATTTTAATTTCTATAATTTTTGTATTTGTAAATTACATAATTATAAATGATTAATAATATATTTTTTTATCGAAATTGTGTTTATTTTTTACTTCGTTTTCTTAAAAAAATTAAAAAAAGTAAAAAAATTTTAAAAACAAAGAAAATCAGGCCGACCCGGAGCCCGACCCGCTTAGGTTTGGGCCCGGGTTCGGGCTTCGGTTTTGCCCAGCCCGGGCCCGGTTGTTTTCCGAGTCAGGTCGGGCCGGGCCGGCCTAGATGGACATGCCTAATTGTAAATAGTTAATAGCTTCAATATACATCTTCGCTGCATACTAGAATGTTCTGTTAGATAATAATTGTGTGAAAGATAAGTTGTACAAAATGTGCATCATAGAATGAAAACATAATGAGTCATGATTTTGATGAGGTGATTTACCTTTGAGGTAATAATACTTCTGGATACACAGCTGCGAGAGACTTTTGCTTGTTCCCTTCTTCACTCTTAAAGGAGTATATAGTATTACGTAAGACACAAACATTTATACTCCATTGTTTCTGATAAATTTTTAACTCTCGGATCAGGATGTGGGATTAATAATTAATTCCATCCTGATCAGATGGCATCCCTTCACGAAAAAAGAATAAAATATATGCATACAAACAAATGTGATGAAGAGTGTCTTTTTCCGAAATATAATGAAAAAGTATCCTAGTACCTTACAAATAAAAACATGCTTTTACTAAGCTCTTTGAATCACATAGTCTTGCTTCCATCTCCTCCTGTTTTTTTGTTTTTTTGTTTTTTTTGGTAGGATTTGGTAAGATTTTTAAGATGGAAGTTGTGTATGGATTAGATTTATATGAGATTTGACTTATAACTGAATTATATAGTAATAATGACTTGATAAATAATTATGATTATGAAGTAATGAAATTAACATTAATGAAAAGATAGATGTGCATTTTTTCGAGTCTATATTCAAATACTCACTATAAAAAAGTATATATCTGCATACAAATGTTTTGATTGTTAAGTCAAGCAACATTCCAACTAATAATGATGCCAACGTTTAAATTTCATTATTACTAAATTAATGTCTGATAAAAATTTATAAATATTATTATCATAAACGTTTTGATTGTTATTATCATGAAAACATGTATATTCAAATACTCACTTATACCCTTCAAAGCATTTATTTTTCTGTTATCCATATAGTTCATTGTGAGTTGCGATATGAAGTAACAAAATTAACATTAATGAATGAGATTAATATTATGATGGGAGGTTACAAAAGTGTAAACAACATAGTCATGATAAAATAAAATTATTTGATTCAACATAATGTTGGTAAAATAAAATTATTTGGGGTTATGAGTATGCATTTAGTTGGGTTTATAAATGTTATTATCATATGTTGGTAAAATAAAATTATTTGGGGTTATGAGTATGCATTTAGTTGGGTTTATAAATGTTATTATCATAAACGTTTTGATTGTTATAATCATGAAAACACATTTATTCAAATACTCACTTATACCCTCCGAAGCATTTGTTTTTCTGTTGTCCATAAATGTCAGTGTGAGTTGTGATATGAAGTAACAGAATTAACATTAATGAAAGAGATTAATATGATGATGGGAGGTTACAAAAGTGTAAACAACATAGTCATGATAAAATAAAATTATTTGGGGGTTATGAGTATGCATTTAGTTGGGTTTATAAATGTTATTATCATAAACGTTTTGATTGTTATAATCATGAAAACACATTTATTCAAATACTCACTTATACCCTCCGAAGCATTTGTTTTTCTGTTGTCCATAAATGTCAGTGTGAGTTGTGATATGAAGTAAAGGAATTAACATTAATAAAAGAGATTAATATGATGATGGGAGGTTACAAAAGTGTAAACAACATAGTCATGATAAAATAAAATTATTTGGGGGTTATGAGTATGCATTTAATTAGGGGTTATGTATGTATGGTATGGGTTATGCTCCACACCACACGCGCGCGTGCCGAACCAAATAGGGCTGGGCCGGGCTCAGGTCGGCAGACGCGCGCCCACGACTTGCGGACACGAATGCAACTCCAGATTGAGGGGCCCTTAACCTGCTACATTTTGAATCTTTGTTTTTTTGCTAATTGAAAGACGATATGGTTTATGTATGTATGTATATGTTTAAAAGGGCATTTTGGGAAGCAATGTTTTAATATACCAAGTCACTTTTATAATAGTATGCATTTAGTTGGGTTTATAAATGTTATTATCATAAACGTTTTGATTGTTATAATCATGAAAACAGGTCTATTCAAATACTCACTTATACCCTCCGAAGCATTTGTTTTTCTGTTGTCCATAAACGTCAGTGTGAGTTGTGATAAGAGGTAAATGAATTAACATTAATGAAAAAGATTAATATGATGATGGGAAGTTGCAAAAGTGTAAACAACATAGTCATGATAAAATAAAATTATTTGGGGGTTATGACTATGCATTTAATTTGGGATTATGTATGTTTGGCTATGGTTTACGTATGGATGCATGTATTTTATGTATGTATGCATATGTTTAAAAGAGCATTTTGGGAAGAAATGTTTTAACATACCAAGCCACTTTTATAATAGTATTAGATAATGATATAATTTTAGGGATTCTATTTCATAGTGCTATTCATTGGGACAATGGAACAATGATATTACCTTTTTATGTTATTGGTTAATTTTTTAGAACACTAGTGGGATAATTTCACCACTTGGGATAAAATTTACCCATTCATATACAAAATTTTTGTCTCAATAATAAAAATTTACCCCATCCTCCATATTTGAACAATTTTGTTCCACTTTGAAGGTAATTGGGATAATTTTCAAACCTTTCTGTATTAATCAACTAATACATGCTAATTATATTATAAATATATGCCATGATATATAAAATATAAAGTAATAATATATTCAACATATTACATTATATTATCATGTAATAAAATAAAATATTATTATAGTTTAATTTATATGTATAATTTATTTTATGATATTTATTATATATTATTATGCAATATTACATACGATATTATATAATAGTACAACATATTTATTATAATATTATATAATATTTTAATAACATATATTATTATATAATATATTATATTAATTATAGTTGATTTTATTATATCAATTATATTATAGTGTATTATATTAAACCAATATAATAATAGTATAATATAATATAACATTTTAAAATTAATAAATATGTTAGTATATTACATTTAATTATAAATATAATATAATATAAATCATGTTATGTGATTATATTATATCAAATTAAATTAATATAATAAATTTATTATTATACTATAATA